AACTAACAGTGATTAAATATTTCATCTAATAGAAAATGTGAGCATGAATGGTTTTAAAAGTTGGTAAACATTTTTTTTCTGATAATGCAGTAGAGCGTCACAGGTTTGATGGCAGATGTCACTTGTGCTGCAGACCTGCCAATCACAGCTCACATCTTTCTAATTACTCAAGTTTCCTTGATGTAACCACAGATCAAAAACGGAGACGTACTCATTTTGTTGCGACATGCCAAGCGAGTTCAGACAGGTGAAAATAAAACTATGTGAAGTTAATTAACTTTGCTTTTTTTGTCCCCCGTTCCCTCAGCGCTCATTACCTTTAAATGGAGCCACACACTGGCAGAAGTAATTTCCAGGCTGGTCAATGCAAGAGGCTCCATTCTTGCAGGGAGACGATGCACACTCATCAATGTCAAGTTCACATCTTGTACCTGCGGCAGAAAAGAACACAGGTATTGATAAATACAGTCCCTCATATCGACAGGTCCGTGAAGTAAACGTTTGGCAGTTTAAAAATAATATGATGGACTAATTGGGCTATAATGAAGAAAAAAAATCTGTGATTACAAGTTGTAATTTAATGTGAAGTCACAATATTTTGAGGATAAAGATCAACGAGGAGAAGCCTGTGCTCGCCGCAGTTCTAGATCCAAACATTATTGTTTCTCGAGAATCTACGAAAGCACTTTCAATTTAATGCAGATGTAACTTGCCTTAAAGTCGACCCCTATCAAACATTTTCTTCAGAATAGACTGTTTCTTGCAAATTTCTAAGTCCTGTGTTGCTGACGAGCCAAAGGATTTGGTGAAACCTGAATAATAACTGAACAAGGTGCTCCATATTCTTCATTTTAACACAGGCAAGAGACTGATCTTCATATATACTCCCCCTTAAATAACAATTTTATTCCTTTTATCTCCTTTTTTCATTTTGGTGTTTTCATTTTAACTGAACCTACAGGGTTTCTGCAGCTTTCAACAAGTTAAAATTTAGTATTATTTAAGACAATAATGAATAAAATTTAAGAACAAGTCAAGATATGAAGGAATATTAGAGTCCCAGAGTTACTCCCACTTCCCCATATCTGAGGTGGAATGGCCCTGTAGGGGATGAGCTTAGAAATGCTACGTTATCTCACCGTCTACATACATAGAAAACCATTATCAGTTCCATGTTGGTCTGGTTTGTAGTTTTATTACAAGAAAGAAAAAATAACTTTTTGAAGCATGACAGAATAAGTGTTCAATGAACGTTGACAAAATGAAGACCTATCTAAATGTATCAAAGACCTTGTATGTAATATTCTAACTTAAAAGTCTGATTTTTTCTTTATTTGAGACTCGGAACACATCACTGTGCTGCAGTAAGTTAAATCAGAATAGAAACTGGGATTTTCTTTCTTTAACGCCAGCTTGTCAAAACGTCACGCTTGATACAGTCACATTCCAAGTTTCATCTGAACAGCAGCTGATGAACCAGCTCTTTAGTTAAAAACACTGCAGCTCGTTTCACTGTTTGTTCTGCTCTGCGAATCAGGCTCTGTGGGAATTATTAGAACTTATTAGGAAACAATTCAACCGCTGTTTCTATGTTTGACTTTCACAGGTTTGTTTAACCCAGAGTCATTATTCATCTTTTTGCTTTAAAGAGCTGGCGATGTCGCACCGCATGTGGGGAAACAATTACGCCGTGAGAGTTCAGAATGAAAGCATGTCACCGCTCTGCTGTTTTGATGAGCTGTTGATGATTTGATTTTATTTAAAAACATACCTGTTGTTGTTCTGGCACACGAGCGAGGACGCAATTTGTCTGAACCTTGTTGTTTTAATTGGCTGCAAACACCCGTTTCCCGAACGCAGGCCGGTTTGTCTTCACCTTCGTCACAACAGCACCAGGCTCTTCTGCGACCCAGGTGGGTTTGTCGACACACGCGGCACATTAAATATTTACCGCCATTTTCAGCAACAGCATCATCAAACATAATTAAACCGACCAGGGCTGCATGAGAGCCTGCGTCCAACTCTTCAACAACTTTCAGGACCTGTGACTAAGATTAACTGAACATTCACATGCTCCTCAGAACGTACTGTTTCCTGAGTCGTGACGGCATTGAGCTCACATCATGTGCTTTGAAGTCGGAATGTAGAAGAAAACATGGATGCTTTATTTGAAGTGTTGTATTGACGTGTTAAGAGCGTTTTTAAATAATGTCTTGACTCCTCTTTCCAATATTTACGTGATAACAAAGACAAAGGATCTGGTGCGACAGGCAGATAAATAATTTAATCTGATGAATCATAAAAATGTTCTATTGGCAAAAAAGTTGTGTACGGCACTTGTGTAACACATAATAGTTGTTGCTCTGACTCGAGATGGCGTTCAAGTGAAATTTCCCAGTCTGGATCTCATTTGTCCCATTATTCCAACACCACACGAACGCACAATGAAGCCTTCTCATTGGACGCTGCTTTGTGATTGGATTGTCCTTGTCCAATCAGATTCAGATGTAAAAATAAGGTCAAAATGAAAGCTTGTTACTTCAGCGTCACGCACACAGTGTGGGATCTTTGAGTTTTACACAGCTTTCTGCCCTGCATGTGGGCGCTGATGTTCTCTGTGTAACTTAGGAATGTATAATTTGTGCTCAGAGTTGCTAATAACCTGATGAAACCCAAAACATATTTAATTAAACCTGCCTCTTCAGAACTCTTCTCACTGCGAGTGCACACGACCGTGCAGAGTTCTTTTGCTCGTAATTCTACAAAATACAAATTCATTTTCTCCGAATACAAATCTTTCTTACATGTACAAAATTGAATTTCAGATTTATTCTACAGGTCTACAAAGGTCAATATACAACTACAAACTTTACCTGTGAACATCAAAGCTTTCTGACCTTGTTTAAACTCAATGTCATCCACATATTCATTGTAAAAGCTACAAATGCAGTTTACCTTTCATTCATGTGAAAACATGCACCCGCACTAACCTGTAAATCCGGGCAGACACACACATCCATAGCCATTAACAAGGTCAACACAAGTGGCATTGTGCAGGCAGGGGGAGGACATGCACTCATCTATGTTGACTTCACAGTAGTCCCCTGCAAAGACATGACATTTAAGAGTCCATGCTCACCCAAAAAAATTATATCACGCTGCAGCTTTGATTAATAACATTTTGTGACTCATGCTCAGTTTTTAACTTTCCCTCGAATGAGTAAACTACATGTTCTGTTTGACTTAAAGTGTCATGGTGTAGAATTGTAAATGTTATCACTCGTGACACCTTGAATCCCTCGATTGTAGTATTCCCGACAGTTGTCAGAAAAATTCACTCCACCACATATTCCACTTGCACATTTTACGACAGAGGCAAAATTCATTTGACAATGATACTTTGTTTTGAATATTCAACAAACACGGGGCTTTAAATCCAGAAGATTTAACGGCTGCACAGATGTTCCTCTGAAAACACCAAATACAATGAGATTGGTGTCTTTCTGTCCAAACTATATTCATAGACTGTGTTTAAGACAAAGCATAGTTTGTGTAAATAGTTTATTCTTCTTGTGTTTCTCTCCCTATTTGTTGTCTCTGAAAACACAAGCCAAACCGGATGTACACAAACTAAGTCAGAAGATGGATTTATTCGGGCTATTTCAGACATTTGTTGTTGCTGTGAACTATGGCATCTTTTCATGTCATTACACTGTATGCTTTGTGCTTCTCTCTCTTCTATAAAGGTTAGAGCTTGTATTAGAACCTAATCACCTCCCATGTGGCTCAGGTGGCCCAGAGCTTACCTCAGGTTAAGGTGCTCTAAGAATGATTTCCTCTACTTTATGTAAGATGGTTTCACACTGCCAGATGACCTAGATATTTAGGATGGAGTGGGATTGACAGTTCATGAAGATGAATTTGGTGACTCGAGTTGATTTTCCTCTTCTTCAGTTTGCCATGAATTTTACTGGAGATTATTGTGCCCCCCAGAGAATAAGTCTCCCCTCTCCATAATATGTTTTCATTACATTTCTTTCAGTTTCGAGCTCAGGCGGGTTAAGGCAACTTTTCAAGATGTTAAGATTAAATGGCTGGACTAGATATTTAAGGTCCTCCAAGGATTACTTATTATGACTTTGTGATATGCTTTTTAATTGCCAAGAAATCTGGTGGAGATATTCCCACTCCCACAGGGTGAAGCCCTGCCCTGATCCTGTCCCAAAGATAATTTGTTCATTTTTTTAACAACTTTTAAGCTCAACTGGAAGTACAAATGCCAAAATCTTTCTAAAACTGCCAAAAGCACCAGATAATGCATTCATGAAAATTTTAAACTCATGAATGATGATAAAAATTTCATTTTTACTAAAAGATTTCCAACTGAAAAGTTAATAATTTGGTGTAAATGGTGGTTTTAAGCTATGGAAGATAAACATGGAAGATGAACACTTATCTAATGTGCTTTCATGATTAACATCACCTGCCACACACAGAAAAAATATTGTCCCTGGGTGATTATGGGTGTTATGAAAAGGAATGTAATTAAAACTGTATATATTTAGTCCTACATCCACGGCTGTAGTTTAATGGGAGGAAGAACTAGAGCTATGACTATAAAATATACGAGTGAAAACAGTTAGCTCCAGTATTACAATGGATGTGTACATTCATACAATTTACACACTCCTGCTGTGCACAGAGACGTCTCAACCTTTGATTTTCCTGAGTGCAAATCAAACTACATGAGTTGCTACATTTGAAAGATTTTACTCTGATTTCAGTCCCTATGCATCTCAAAGAGAGCGATAGTGCCTGCAGAGTTAGCTGAAGCTGTGTGGTTTATGGTATGTCACAATATACAACACACTATACTCGTTGCACAGCAGTTGGTTGGCATGGACGCAGAAAGTGATCAGCATTTGGCCGAGCAGACTTTGGAAGATGCGTTTGGAGCCAGTACCTGCTGAGCACAGCTTGGCTGAACACGTCCAACTTTTCATGAAGTACAGGGAGATACTTTTATAATGACAGATGCTCATCTGCTATATATCATATAAATATCATATGACCTTAGGGATTAAAGCCTGCATGGATGCATATTATGATGCGTGTTGCATTATGTGTTGTTAGTCTCTTCTCTCTCTTTAATTGAAAGAATTATTTATCTATTACAACGATGATTATGATAAACAAATGTGCGATTCCTGAATGTACAGTTATAAGAACTTAATGTTTCTAAGACAATTGCAGCCTTTGAACGTAAAAGTTCATTTTCATAAATAGCAATATAACAAAAGTCTAGATTTACTAAATGTTGTGCTGTTTATCAAGTGTTTGCCATTATCTGCCCCTAAAGAAAAACTGTATTTAAACTTAATTAATAATGCAACTTTTATCGTGTCACTTATTGATATCAAGTGACATTAAATCTTTCATATTGAATTTTTGGCCATATCGTCCAATCCTAAAATGCGGATCACTTGGGGAATGAGGCAGAGCTATAGATAAGTGTCTAGTTTGGCCAAATGTTTTGCCTAAAGTCAGATTTTATGAGATTAAATTTGACAGATATTGTTGGTATTTACTTTATTAATGCTGAATTCTATCTTCTTTATTGAGATTGATTTTCACATTTTCTCAAATGATTTATATTTTCAGTGTGCCTGGCCATCATGAAGCGATTACAACAAAATCCTGTTTTGATCTGTATTCTCAGTCAATATTGAGATGACGCATGCATGAAGAGCTGTGAGCTTTGAGCTGTGCAAACAAACACTGTCATGGTGGGATGCAGATAAAATACCTGTGACTCCGAGGGGACACTGGCAGCTGAATGAGTTGAGCTCATCAAGGCAGGAGCCTCCGTTTACGCAGGGCTGGCTGAGACATTCATTCACTTCAATCTCGCACTTATTTCCTGAGAAGTATGGGAGGCGCACAACATGTTGACAAACTGCATCGCCTCCGTGAATAAAATGTCACTTTAACTCACAAAGAACAACTTCAAATAGGCTCAAATAGCTTTCACTTACCAATAAATCCTGGTGCACAGAAGCAATTGTAGCCATTCAGAGTGTCCTCACAAACACTCAGGACTCCACACGGTCGTTCTTCACAATCATCAATGTTTACCTCGCAATACCGGCCTGTTAAACCTGCAGAGAGAAAACGGTCACTTCTCTGCTCACTCTCTGAGTAACAATCACAGAGTTAGCCCTTAAATTAAATTAAAGTTAAAATGACTATGAAACAGCAAAATGATGCAAAAGATTTTCTTCTGGTCTTTTCTTTTCTTCACATACAAGAAAAGGATAAAACATTCACTTACTGTATTGTTAATAATGAACCAAATCGTTGATTGCTGCTTTAAAAGTTGAACCATGGATGTATTATGAAAAGTAAACTCAGAAAGTAAAAGCAAACTCAGAAAGTACAAATCATTGATGTGAACTATGCCCAATTTAAAAGATTTGATTTGGGTGATTTTACAACAATGCCAAGCATAACAAGACAATCCATTTTCTGACCTCTGACTGTGAAAATAAGTCAACAGTTAATATAAAATCAAAATTTAAAGCAAACCTTCACCTGCATTTATTTAATTATGTCGAATGCAATCATAAATGTTTGTAACCTCGACTGTGTTGTCATTTTAATTGGAGGCTTTTAATAATTGCTCCTTTACTCAGTTTTTTTCAGCGATATCATTTTACAAGTAATGTCAACAGTCTTGAGGGGGAATCTGGAAGATAATTACTAAATTCGGTGTATGACTGCATACTGTTGCCATAATTCAACTTATATCAATAAAAAAAAATAAAGAGTAAATTATACTGTAAGTAAAAACATTCTAACAATTTAAAATGTGAGTATTTACAAATTTACAAATATAAAACATATTTATTTATTCTTGTTCTGGGGCAGTACCCAGACTTACTGTAAGTTGCTTTGGATAAAAGCATCAGCTAAATTGTAAAAATAAAAGTATTTCAAATCTATGCAAAATGCAACAATTGTGACTTCTATTTCTTTCTATCTACAGTTACCTTATTCATACTCATAATTATCATCTATGAATTGGTGCAATTAAACACAAATACTGAAGTCAATTTCCATTTTTACAATGTAATAAATATAATAATTACCTCGGAAATATAAGGTCCTCTTTGCCATAACATAATATTGTTTTGTTATAAACCATTTCTTTGTATAAATGTCAGCAGGAGACTCCTGGTTCCTAAGTGGGCAAACCGACATGTTTCTTTTTGAAGTCAGTGCACAAACTGAGCCCTGACTTACACATTTCATAAGACTGTTATGGGTTGTTGCTTTAGGCCAAAGAGATTAGACTCCCACAGAGGGAAGCTGATCGAGTGAAAGCATCAAACCGCTGCACATGTACATGATTCATTTGAAGAATTGCCTCCATTTGAAATGAGCCCCTGCTGCATGGTGGACCTACCTGGCAAACAATCACACTCGAACCCTCTCGACAGATCGACGCACGATGAACCACATTGACACAAGCCATCAACGCAGTGGTTCACAAGTGTTTTGCAGTGCGGCCCGGTGTACCCATGTTGACACACACATCTGTAAGTATCTGCCAGCTCTTCACACAGGAGAGTCCCCTCAGGGTCGCAAGGATTTGACACACATTGGGTCACAGATGAGGAGCAGTCATTGCCATGGTATCCTGTAAGTTGGGAGGGATCAAAGGAGTGACTGATGTGCGCTGCTGTGTACAGTATCCTCCTGCCCTCCCACGGCTGGCAGACATCACAGATTGTGATTCCAAGTAATGTTGTCGTTGCCAGTGTTTTGCCTCCCTGCTGATTTACATATTTTATCCAGGCAGAGCATAAAGCACTAAAGGGGGGATTTCAGCATCAGTACAGAATCTAAAATAAAAAATAAAAACTGTGGTTGGTGTGTGTATGTGTGTGTGTGTGTGTGTGTGTGTGTTGTTTCTTCACCGATTGTTACTAATGAGTGGATTTGAACGCGTGCTTTCCGATGGTATTCACTTTGAGGTAAAGCTGCTTTGGTGCTACCACGGTAATCAACAACACTAGTATGTTTTTCACAAGCATTGAGGGTTGCAAGAGGGATTGATGTATGATAAACCAAGAAGATCACATGACACACTTTGGCTATAATGAATTTATAGCCTCTGTTCTACTCTGTGTCCACATTTATGGACGGAATTACTGAAGTAATTACCAAAGCACTAAGCTTAATTCACATTTCTAAATCTACTTTACAAAAAAGGTTAAATACCTGGACAGCAAATACAGTGTATTCCTCCAGTGGGGCTTTGGGAGCAAGTTCCTCCATTTTTGCACACCTCTACATCTGATGCACACGATGCTGACACCGATATGGAGCAATTCTTACCTGAAAGGGAAATCAAGCTTGTTAATTGAGCTTGTCTGTGTTAATCACGACGAAGCCAAAGAAAGAAAAGACATCACAACACCGACATAACGATGCTTCTCAATAATCTGTCACACAAATGAGTTTGACCGCAGAGAACAACAGCCATTAACGTGATGAACTAGCGTGATGTGGTGTGAGTGTGTCCGGTAATGGAGCCACTCGGGGTCATACTAGGACATAACTGCAGATTCTTCCAGCTTTCAGCGTTTATCACAGTTTTTTTACAATGCCAAAGGGACGTTCAATTACTAGTCTCCAATCTGCTTATAGTGTCCCAGGACACAAATAGATGAAAAATACTGATGGGGTTACATGAAAGTAAAATTCATACCAGACTAAAATAGATCAGTTAAGTTTGCAGCTGATGCAGTATATTATATTTGGATAAATACTAAATACTGTATTCAGTTTGTACAGTGGGAGAAAGAGAGCCATCTTTATACTCAGTCAGCTGCAGTCCTTCGGTGAATGAGCTCTTTCATGAGACAATGGGACCACTTTGATGTTTATCACTGCTTAAGAGTCATCAATCTGCACTGTATTCATTGAAGCCTAAAGTATGAAAATGATGACACAGATAACTCACCAGCAAAGCCCGGAGGACAGATGCACTCGTAGTCTGCAATCAGGTCAATACACGTGGAATTATTGGCGCAATATCCATGGACACATTCATCATAGTTGATTTCACAGTTCAACCCCCCAAAGCCTGTTGTGAAGAAAAACAAAAAAAAAGAAAGAAAGATCTCATCATCAGAGACGTGTGAATGTCGACAATAAGCCGACATGAAAAGACAGATTAGTATCGAATGACACCCAAGAGCAATGTTTGACTTTTTACAAACAAGTGCATAAGTTGAGAGCGACACGGTCTATAATGTATATTTTTTTATTTTATGGGTCTACTTACTTCTTAGTTACATCAGCAAATTTGATATTTATAAAAATAAAAGGTTAAAGTCATGAAGCAAATGCGAGCGCTGCCAATTTCTGACATTTTAGTTCCCTCATAAATATATTCCACCACATGGTCACGCTGCAAAATTACTATCATTAGCACTGTCACACACTGCAGCTACAGGAGACCCATGACTAATTCTTGGCTATCAGCACCATCGATGCAGGTCAAATTCTCATCATTTCTCAAACTGACCATGGAACCAATTTCCACCTCTCTCCATGTCATAAAATTTGACAATTATTCTGACTTCATTAAAAATGCATAGCAGGCTTCACCCGCAATCAAGGTTTAATCAGAGGTATGTCTGACAGGTAAGATGCCAACTGGACCAGGAAATCGTTGGAAAAATAGCCCAGATTTATTCCCTCTTGAGCTAATGACACGAGTGGCAGTATCTGATGGGATGATTTCATGTAAATGTAAAACAAATACACTTGTTAACCCTGCGAGTAATGATCTGCAACCAGGAAACAAGAGGAAAAGTGTTAACTGAAGATCATTGTGAAGAAAATGTGGCAATCAACGTGATGGTTTTTATTTCAGAGAAACACTCGAACGAGTGTGTTCACAGATTGATTCCGTGCTCTTTAACTCAAGTTGTGCTCATCAGAGACAAAACCACCTGCTAAGATTGGTTGGGGTGAATTCTGATAACTCTCAACCCTCAAGGTTGTACAGATATTAGGATCAACATAACAAGGACATGCAGTTGGAGGAAGAGGAAGAAGAAGATAATAACCAATCATTTTCTCCAGTTGTTGAAAACATTAATTAGTCATGTGCAGGAGTGTTTCAAGAGACTTTAGGGGCCCCTGGACAAAAGGGGACCTGGGGGGCCCAACATCGAACCAAACCACACCGAAGAATCACATTTAAGCATTTACATTAATACTGTAAAGCAGTAAAGTTTGAGTGTAAACCCCCACAACCATCCCAGGCATATAAAACATACACATTTAGACATTTTCATCTTTAACCAACCTCTATAGTTATGAAGGTTTCGCAGAAACATTTTGTTTTGATGGTGTTGTTGCAGTCTCCTATACATCCCACTTCTGACATTGTGCTTCCCTATCCCACTGTCCAGGGGCCCCTGAGCAAGGTACCTTACTCCCACCTTACATCTGATCCCCGTGCGCTTTCAGTAGCTACCCACTGCTCCGTGTGGTCTGTCACTGCTCACACAGGATGGGTTAAAGGCAGAGACTTCATTTCCCCCCATGTTGCATGTAGTTGTGTGCTGTGAGTTGCATGATTTGTGAATTTGTGAACAAATAAAGGAATCTTAATAACTAATTATAGAATTTAAGGGGGTTCTCACAAAATTGTGGTGGACTAACATCGACTCCAGACAATTGCCTAACTTGCCCCCTGGTTATATGAAGGTAGTTTTTTCTACTTTTTTGTTCAGGACAGATTCAACCACACCAAGTCTACTGGAAGTAAAGCACGAGAAGTGGTCTCCTTATTTAGAGTTGTTTTAGTAATAATTTATGAAGGTCTCGTGTGGTTTTAATATTTTTCCTTTTTTTCATGGCTGAGAGAATTAAGGGGAATGTTGTTTCAAATCCTTTTTGTGCAATAATGAGTTCCTGGGTGGATAATGTTGAAGAAATTGGTTTTGACGAAGATCACACGTCTGTTGTAATTGTTGAAATGATTGAGAACATAGTTAATTTAGACAGAGATGTGAGAGCTGAGATATTATTCTTTGATTTAAAATTATAAAAAAAAAGATGGCTCTGCTGTTGATTGAAAAAAATATGGTTAGAAGAGTTATTAATGGAAACAATCTCATTATATTTATATATACACATGCTCTATTTTTTTTCTTTTCCTTGAACCATTAATGAGGTGGACCTGGCAGGTTGATCGTCTCTACAGTAAATATTGGTCCCAACAAAGAAACAATAGAATTAGTTCACAATTAACGAGAATGAGAGATTCAGTTTATACATGTTATTTAAACACCTACTTCCACAGGTGAACACCAACATGCACTGACAAACTGTTTTTTCATTCATTTTTGTGCCGAGTTCTTGAAAAAGCAAAGACATTTTATGATGGAGTTTTACTTGTATGTTTGGAGCTGCATTGCAACTTACCCTCTGAGCAGAAGCACTGATACAGATCTGCGCCGTCCACACAAATACCACCATTCTGGCACGGATTTGACTCGCAGTCATTGAGATTTACTTCACAAAATGATCCTGCAAACCCTGCAGGCCATGTAAAAGAAGAACATAAAAAGTTATTGAAATCTTTTCCTTTTTGCCTCCCCTGGTTTAGATTCTTCACCCAATTAGGATCACTATGACTTGTTTCACAAACAAAAGCTGGTTTTCAAAGCTCATATTGATTTAAAGGGGGCTTGCTGGGCACATGTAGACTCAGTGGATCATTTAATCATGTTTAATAGGAGCCAGTCGTTCCCCCTCTGATTTATTACATTAAACAAGCAAAACTTAGTGATTTTAACATCAAACTCAATCTATGCACAAAGGGGAACCACATGAAACAAATAACATGCATCGGTGCACACGTGTGAATGCTCTCACGCACCACACACACACACACAGGCCAGTTAAGAGGAGAAACATGTCACTGTTTATGTCACATAATTGCTGGTGCTACTCAGGCTGTAAGTGGGTTAACCTCACAATCAGCCACACATTTGTTGTGTGTATAAAGTGTGAACACAGGCAGCCAAGGACTTAACAGAGAGTAAGGGTCCTGAGATACCTTTCACCAATAGTAACATAGAAGAAATACGGTATGAACGTGCAAAGAAAAGTTGTGGAAGCAGTCTTACTGCGGAACAAGCAGGATTTCTCCAAAATAAAACTGTGGCGTTATACAAAAACAAGAAAGGCAAGAAAACAAAAACAAGTGCTGTGTTGCAAAAACCTTCTAGATGACAAAAACTCTCTCATGCAGAGAAAAAGCTTTTGATGAAACAACAGCTTTCGGGAGCGCAAATAATTTTATGGCAAAAAATAAGTCTTGCACTGCAAAGTTGTTTCCTTTGAAATGAATGCTAATGTAAAAAACCTAACAGAAACTGCTGTCAGAAAAATGTTTTTTGGGAGGGCTTGTATAAAAAAAAAAACAATTATTTCCTCATGAAACCTGTTACTCAAGAGAGTCTAATCACAGGAATTTTACCAGAAACTTACCAGATTTCTTTTTGTATCCATGTTCATCATGAATTAAAATCTATAATCAAACATTCATGGTGTAAACATTTGATTTAGTGTTAGTACAAAACACAAGGTCAAAACATTGACAGCATGGGATGTATGGCATGGTGATGGGGGGTGTGACTAACATGTTTTGCAACACATTGGTTGGAAAACATTAGATAATACGGATGCCAAGCCCGTTGACCTGAAACATCTCGACAAGACAGCATCTCACCGTCTGCCCTTGAGAAGCGATCTGCGGGAGCAGTTTGCCGCAGGTTGCTTTCATTTACATAAGAAATCACTCACAATCGTTCACTTTGACATCTGGCGAGCATAAGTGCAACGGCAGTAATGAAGTTACGGTTATTGATTGGGTTACATGAACTTCTATGTAATAGCCATTCATTTGAAAACAGATAGCTGAGCTGGTGTGGAGTCGTGCCGACTGAATTATGACTGGTTTGGGAGGCTTTTATTTATTTCAAGTGCCTCAACTTCATCCAGGAATACACTTGTGTGCATGTGCACGCAGTCCTACACCGGCACTCTGTCACTTGCTGCACATACAGACTTGAGATGCAGGGCTCTGAAGCCTGGTTTCCCCTGGCAAGCCTCAGAGTGTCTAACAGGTCAAGCCTCCTCCACTTACTCCTGTGTTATCTCTGTCACTGCTGGCAGCTACTGCTGTGATAACGCTAGTGTCCGCGTGGAGACAAATCAGAAAGACTGGACTGACAGAGAAAATATTGTTTTCCTGCAAGAATTGTCAAAACAATCTGCATAAATTTGCATGATTATTGAATGGCAATGAGGTTGTGAAAACAGTAGTGTGCCTCAATGCTGCCAGTCCCTTTTTTGATGCATGAGTAAGGAGACTTTATTTTCTAGATCGAAGCACACGCGGTGAACTGTTGTCTTCTTCTACTAAAGATAAATCTAGTAATCCCACTTCTGCCGACCAGTTCCATACATTTATTTCCAGACTCATATGAGGTCACTGTGACATTTGACCTTTGACCACTGCAATCTAATCAGTTCATCCTTGAGTCCAAGTGACAACTGGTCAAAATGTAATCAGTTAATTTATGAGTCGTAGTGAAGATTTAAGCCAAACTTTAAATTATTCTCTTGAGACGTTCTTCAAATAACACTTTCACAAGCCAAAAAACAGGTTTTGTGGGGTCATAATTCTAATCATATCTCCCGTGAGTCCAACTGAACGCTTGTGCGAGATGACATTCCCAATGGGTGTTCCGGATCACATCATGTTCACAAGAACCTGAGGTCACTGTGACATAAACCACCAACATTTAATCATGTGTAGCAAGATTGAAAATATTTCCTCAAGGTGTTCCCGAAATGTTGTGTGCACAAGATCAAAAACTTGTTTTGTAAGGTCAGAGCAACCTAGAACTTTGACAAGCAAATTCACTTCAGTTGATCTTTAAATCCAAATGAAAATTTCTACCAAATTTGAAAATATTCCCCCCCGGGAAGGCAAAAAATGTGCTATTATGTTTGACCACTGAAATGTCATCCTTGAGTCCAACTGAACATTTGTACAGAATTATGTTACAAAAATAGGACGAACAGACAACCTGAAAACATAACGCCTCGGGCCACAGGCTGTTTCCAGCGCAGAGACATAAAATACACTTTTGGATTTACAGACAGCTACATATTCCCTGAATTAAAATAAACTTTTGTGTAAGACAGTGAATCAGCGTGAGAAAATGGGTTGCTTTGTGTCACATTTTCACTCTTGCAATGTGCTCATTTTCCACCTGTTAAGGTCGCCGCATGACAAACACATCACCTGTTAAAGGTCTCGCTCACCTCTTTCACATGTGCAGGAGACATTCTGTCCATCATTGGTCTCGGTGCATATTAATGTGCGTTCACTGCAGATTCCAAACGAGCAAAGGTCAATGTCCACAGAGCAATCCTTCCCCTTGAATCCTGAGAACAAAACAATGCAAACGGTGCCTTGAATAAAACCTTGGTAAACAAGCAATAAGGAATGCAATCATACAGCAGCAACACACGCTGTGCAACACATACTTATGCGGCCATGTGGTTTATTAGGTAAAGACACCTTTTCTTTAGAGGATTAATGGAGGTATTGATTTTTTCCCCCTGTGCAACTTAGCTGCTATGCAGTATGCTAATTGATTGAATCATTGACAGAGACCAACCCTACCAAACCAATCCATATCACATTTATCTGCCCCGTCAAATGCACGTCTGCATGTCACTGATAGATACCCATGTCAATATCTATTGTTGTAAATAAAGCACAGACAGATGGTGTGACTGATACATGGGCTTGTATAAATAAAGATGACCAAAAGGGAGAAGCCAAGAATAGAAGAGTGTGCATCACATGTGCTGCACCCATTAGGTAATGTAGGTCAAAATAATGAAGACCAATGTGATAACGCCTGTTTTCATTTTGGAGAGAGAGACTGGGTTTATGGAGTCAGAATATTTCAATGTTCTAAATTTCATACTCAGGAAAACCAAAAAGCCTCTTTAAACCAGAAGCCTCTAAACAGGAAGAATGCGCCCATATCCGTGTCACATTAATCTGGGTGCAGTCAGTCAGTGTCTGCAAAGTAGGTCTCACTCACTGGCAGAGCGATGAAACATTTCAAACATCGCTTCCTCATGTAATTCCTTTTTATGAAGACATGAATACATACGCACAGAGCAGCATCTATATATACGAGACTACGCAACATGTTGAGCTGTCAGCCGGCGCCATTGTCTTTATGTCGTAATCTGTATCGACAGTGTCGCGCTTTACACCAACACATCTATCTCCATGTTTGATGACCTTCCGACTACAATTCCCCCCCATCATATTATATATTGCCTTGGCTAGTTAATGGACAGCTATTGCCTCCAACAGAGTGTTTCTGAAGTGTTTAATAACCAATTGTGCATGCAGTTCACTCTGAGGTTAATGTTGCATGAAGGAATGTCACATTTACAGTGTCACCATCTCCAAATGGGACTCCCTATTCTGTCTGACAGCTACGACTGCAGAAAGAAAGGCACGACGTGAAACTCATTGTTCTCCGTTGTAGCTTAAGATGCACAGTAACAGGAGACGCTGTGATGCTGCGTTGAGAGCATCCCGGTCGTTTGCCCATGTTGTCGTGTTCAGTGGTTAATGGTGACATCCATGGGTCATAACTACTCTTTGGCTCTGAAGAGTGCTGCTCGTCAGCATATTTAATCATCTCTCATCAACAATGTTCTGGTTGCTCCACTGAGCTGAAAAAGTGAAAATCATGTCCGTTTAATAAATCAAATAAGATTTATGGTTATGTACGATTATGAAAGCTGGGTAAAGCTTGTGTCGCTCATTACCTCCACTAACAAAGAAGGTTTTGTTCCTGTCCTTACTTCTGTAATGTGAGTGCTGGAATACAGAATCCAAAGATATTTGGTGAAAAGCTCAGGTGAAGAAGTAAAGGTTTTGAGTGATTTCTAGTTCTGAACAAAAAGCCTGAGGAGCCACGGATAAATTAAATGGACTGTTTTTAAATAGTTATTTTACCACTCTCACTCAGAACCCTTTACACTACAAGTCACATTCACCCATTCATACAGTCACACAGCACTTTTCTATCACACATCATTACCACTGACAGAACAGTCTTCAGGTGGTGATTTAGAGTTCAGCGTTTTGCCCAAGGTCATTTTGAAATGCAGACTGGAGGAGCCAGTGATTGAACAATTGACCTTCTGGCTAGTAGAGAACCCACTATACCTGACAACACTGCCAGAGACACTAGTTTTTAATTGGCTGTAATAATATGTTTTTGTTGAATTCCATTTGCATCAATCCATTTGATTTTCCATCAATTCCATCCTTTTTCCAACCTGTTTTCACTCGTCTTTTGGTTGTTGGTTGGTTTGTTTGTCAGCAGGACTACTTAAGAACGACTTTACCAGATTTTCCATGAAACTTGGTGGAAGGATGGGACATGGGCCAAGAAAGAACCAGTTAAATTAGTGTGGATCCTGACCGACCATGGAGTCTTTTTTTTATTAATTACTTTGACATTGTGAGATTTTTGGACATTTTAATGGATTTCCCAGGGAATAATTCATGGATCTTTATGGAAATAAATCAGTCATATTTAGGAAACTGACAACTATGAGCAGTCCTTGTCAGAGGAACAGTATGTGCTCTACTCAGTGCCATTCTAGTCTTTGGAATATTTTGGAACATAAGAGTATTTGGAGAGAGTAAAAAGATAATATGAAACCATTGTCCTTGTCTCGGACCTGTAGGAAAAACAACATTATGAATTTAAATGGAACCAGTTTCATGGTCAATATTTAAGTATTCTCCAAACAGGCTGCAATTGACTAATACAATTACAAATAATGATTGGCACTATTACAAATTACAATGCCTTATACAAATCCAGATGCAGATTAAACATTTGTAGAAGTGAGGTGAAACCTTGGCTAAGGTCTGGTCCTAGTGTTCGTGTGCTCTTTTTGTGTGTGTGTGTGTGTGTGTGTGTGTGTGTTTTTGAGTCAGAAAAACAGACAAACCTGACAGACCATTTGTGTAATTGAATTTCCGAAACGATAAAGTGATCACAAACACCTGTCTATAAATCTGTCAATGAAATTACAACAGTAATGGAGGTTTTACTGACACAATGGTGTTCTGTTTTTCGCCCAAATTTAATTTGCGCAAAAGGCCGGAAAATAGCAAGGGCAGATTATTTACTGTGATGCATTTTCTTTGTCCATAATGTCATAAAAACACACCATGTGACAGGTGCTGCACAGGTCTCAGGGCAGTAAATGTTTTAATGACTACACCCACATTTAGTGATTTAGTGTGCAGAGGCATATTTGGCTGAAGGAGAAGCACAGAGGACTAAAACACAATACACAGTAACAGTAAAACACTGGAAATATTGTTTCTCTCAAATGTAGGTAGGAGGGTAGACTTTGAAAACAACACAAATACCCAGTATAACCTGTGTATATCTTCAGCTTTTGTGAACTATCTTGAGAGAATCATTTCCCAGTGCAAGTGTGTACTTTGTGTCCTGTCTACTCTTGTGTTTGGTGAATATTATTCTTTCAAATATTTGTCTTTATATCCTGTTCTTGGGACTGTGGCTGTTTAATGCCAAATGTGACATTGGACGTGCAATGCCAAGTGGGCCGGCTGCAGCATTCCGACTTGTGCAATCAAGTGGTGATTAAGTATTTTATTACCTGAGGGCATCGTAAAAATCAGCTGCACAAGACCTCCCTCTATCAAGGACTGTGTTACAACTGATTATGGATCCATGTGTTATGAAATGTCAAACATGTATATATTTGTAAAACAGGTTGTCACTTGATTAAAGCACAATGCTGACAACTCCATCTGAGCTGAATTAGGGAGGTGCACATGCATCAGGGCTTTGCAGGGCAAAAAACAGTGTTGTTTTCTACTGACATTGATATTAACCTCTACTCCATGAAATGAAAAAGTGAAAATCTTACAGTTTATTATTAATGGCCTACCCATAATACAGTTTTACTGCTTCTATTTGCTTTCCGTTGTGTTTTAGCCTGCATTCAAACTTTAAAAAGACAAGTATAACTGATAGTCTTTGGAGGTGCATCTTAAATAAAAACTGAAAAATGATCGCAAGTGCACAATTAGGTTTGCATGTAAATGTATGAGAAATAAAACTTTTCACACATTCCCAAGATACAGTTACGCAGACAATTAATCGCGAGATATTTTTGTAAACATGCTCAATAATACACAAGTAGTCGGTGCTTACCAAGGGGACAATGACAAATGTAGTCATTTATCAGATCCATACACAAGCCTCCTTTTAGACAAGGCTCCGACCAGCAATCATTTACATTCTCCGAGCAGGTCCTTCCTGCAGGATAAAGAGAGAAACAAATAAAGTCTACTTAATGTCACAGGGAATGCAGCTTAGAATGTGTTTATCCTAATAAATGTAGCCATCACTGAGGATGTTTAACGCTGATGTTAAGTTCATAATGAAGCTTGAATATGTGCTTAAACGTGGCAACATTAAACATGCGCAGAAGAAATTTCTGATCATTCTTCTTAACATTTCACGAGGCAGCTGATTCCGCTGGCCGAAAATGTGATGGAAGGTTATGTGATCAGCATATTGCGATTTGTACGTATGCATAAACGGCATACATTCTATTTTAGTGTCCTCTGGGCAGGAATTACATGTGGAATTGATTTAAGATTTTACTGACAAACTTAAAGCTCCACTTGCTCTGCCCTCTGGCCAGATTTCAGACCTCTTAGTTCTCCGTGAGCCAGAGAGCTCACAGAGAACTAACAGCCCGACGTCCTCGGGCACTAGTGTACAATTTGCTATGCTGTCTACACCAAAGGTAATTGTACTTTTGCCATAGTGACCCCACACACTGGCAAGGACTCTGTTAATCATATACTGTGAGATACTCACATAATTAAAGTTGCCGCTGACTGCACCTCCAGCCCAAATATACTGTACAAGATACATTTTATACTACACAGTGCGACTGGTATGATACTGAGCCAGCTCATACTGCCAGCAAATATTAATTAATAAATCTGCATAGACATAACTGCAGCACTGATCTGTTTATGCATTCACATCAAGAAGATGTACTATTAAATTGGAAGTGGTAACTAACTTAACTCTAAATGTATAAGAAATAGACAAATTGAATTATTAACATACAAAAGCTAATAATGTTAGTGAATGTAACTATTTTCTACCTCCACCAAGCATTTGTATGTTAGTTAACAGGAATATGCAAAAACTCCAAATGGCCAATTCTCACATTTTCATTATAGTTATCCATTTTTATAATTGAAATTTTCATTTTACTTTGTCGCTGCTAAATTGTATGATTAACTGATTATTCAGTAATATACGTTAAAGGATTTTCTGTAACAAATCTATTATTGCCATGAAACCGGGCAAACTCTGAATTGTTATGCACCTAGAAATGTAGTTCTTATGCAGAATCATTTGCACAAGGAGATTACCTTATAACACAAGACAACAAATTGTCCCTTATATATATAATCTACCTATTAAATGTCAGCGTTAAACCTCTAAGTGAGTCAAGACTTCATATTTCTAACATTTCTAAAAAGCTCATATTCCTGTGACTGGCCACACTGAAGTCTGCAAACAGGATCTCATTCGCATCAGATGGTCTCATACCCTCAAACCCTGGGGGACAGTGGCACTGATAACCACTGATTAGGTCCACACAGGTGGCACCGCTCGCGCAGGGGAAGCTGCTGCACTCATTTGTTTCCAGTTCACAGAGCGACCCTTCAAAACCGAGCGTGCAGAGGCAGGTGAAGTTGTGCCGCCGGTCCAGGCAAACACCGTGTTCAGAACAGCGATGGCCAACACAGTAATCAATGTCCTCTTCACAGTAAACGCCCGTGTATCCTCTGGGACAAAGGCACCTAGCAACGAATTAAAGAGATTCTTTTTGAATACTGCAGAGAGTGGGAGAAATTCTTTAAACCCTGAAGGAGCAGAAACAGAAAATGTCACAGCTTTACAATCGTTGACATTCTGGTGCCTGAATGGCCCTGAAGACAATCAAGATTTCAACACTCACCTGTAACCATCAATCTCATCTACACAAGTGGCTCCGTTCTGACACCAATGCTGAACGCAATCATTGACATTTATATGGCAGTTCTGACCGGACCAGCCAGGCATACAGATACAGGTGTAGCTAGCAGCTTCGTTCAAGATGCAGCGTCCTCCGTTGGCACAGGGCTGTTGAAAGAGGACAGAGCAGTTATAAGAGATGTGCTGCTCCGTGTGCAGGAGTGAAATTGCCTCATATCGAATGGTAATATCTTAAATTTGCACTGACATGTTTCAGCTCCAAAATATAAGCGTTATTTTACAATGAGACCTCTTGAGCTTTTCTTTGCCTGGCTGCCCAAAAATGAGCTTCATTACGGCCACTTGACATATTCATGGATACAAATTCATGCTTTATGCTGGATTCACTTTCCATCTACATTCCATGTAGCACCATGTCTTACAAGAAAAAATCAATGGCCATTGAGGGCCCAGTAAGAAAAAGACATGCCTGTAGCTGGTGAATGAGTGTGTATATATAGCAGAGGGGTAAACAAAGGGCCACATGAAGTACCTCCCTGTGAGAGAAGGTGTATAATGCAGACATCATGGCATTTCTGTACGGGGGCCAACTCAAGCTTTGCTCCTCAGCGAGTGATCATCTCCATCTGTCATCTGAAGTAGCTTCCGTCTTTGGTCTTAGCCATTGTCTTTAAATGCAGAGGGTTTCATCCGCACATACAAAGAGCTTGTGCACGTACAAAAATACAGACATTGCAAATCTTCTGCAGCGCTCAGCAGGTGGCTGAAGCCTTTTTTGTCCCACTTGTGCACGCCAAAAGCAAAACCCCCGATAAACAATGACAATTCCTGATTTTTTTGTTTTCTGCCAAACCTGATTTCAAGCCTGGAAGATATGCAACCACGTTAAAAAGAAAAGATCATAAAAATGTGCTTGATTTCAATACACAGCATTGAGCGTATTGTGAATACAATATATACTTAAACCATAAAGTCCTTTACCAGATGTTTTTTCTAATTTAGAGTCCAGTTTAGAATCCACTACTTGATTGAATGTGCATGTTGCACGTTTCACACAGCACACAAAGGAGCAGTGAATTCCCTTGTTAATCAAATATTTAATATAACTTAACAGGTAAACCAACATCCTGTGCTGCTCTGACACCAGCTGATTGCAGTGTTTATGGATTATCGCATTTGCTGTCAATCTTCCTGTGGGATTTATGCTTATGTTTATCCCCATGTACAACAAAGGATTATCCCACATTTTATAAATAAGATACTGAATTACACTGGATACCTTCACACTTAAGTTCTCCATGTCTGTTGTTTGCAGGTCTCTTCCAGGTTATCATGAATAAATACAAAAATAGACGGAATTGTTTAAACACTTAAAAGGACTGTATTTTCTGCATTTGTATTCAATCACGGTTTGATTTATTTCTTATACTGAAGGATGTATGGCTATAGAGCTAACAGTAGAAAAGGGGGGACCTAAATATGCACCTTACTGAATCAGGAATTGTGCATGGATGTTGGACACACCGGCCCTTCTGTGCAGATGCTAGCCCCTTCATGGCCTCAAGTGTAGAAACTCCTCTAAATAACATTAGTAAACACATAAAGCCCTCATTGATCCTCTTGCTCTGGTTCCCTTCTGTTGTAATAATGTTGCTGCACTGCTGTAGAGATAATACAGAAGAAGCTTGAAAAGAAATGATCGCAAGGTCTTTAAACATGTGTACAACTAATGAGGAGCATGTTGGAAGCACAAAAGCAGATGAGGAGATAGTCCATTAAGATGTTTGTACACACTTGAAGGTTTTGAGTGCAGGGTACACGGCAGGTGTATTCAAGACCGTCTGGCAGATCCACGCACTGAGTGGTTGGTGGACACGTGTTGTCGGGCAGAGCACAAGCATCAACGTCATTCTCACAATTCTTTCCCAGAAAACCTGCAGAAAAAGATTTCAGAGGGTTCATGTAACTGCTGTAACACAAAGTACATCTGTAATGTGTCACAAACCCATCTCTAATTTATGACTCTGTACCAGGCCAGCTCTTCTATATATTTAATAAACAAGGCCAGAATTGGGCCAATTGTGGGTCGTCTGGAGGATTAGCCTCATTTCGTGTAATTTTATCTAACTTGAGCCTAAATTTTAATTTTACCTTAAACTTAAATTGTTGTGCTTCTTATTTTCCTCTGATTTTCCATCTAGTCTCTCTGACTTGCTCCTCTGGTTTAAAAAATGAATCTGTAAGAATTATCACATGTTGAAGTTATTTGGTATGACCAATTGAACAAGTTGAACTGACCATAAACATAAATTAATCCTGAATGCTTTACATTAGTTAAATAACATCATATGGCTTTATACATGTATTGTTGAGTTGGTATTGTATTATATTCAGTGTCAGGTAGGGCTTAACCAACAGCTTGCATATCAATCATGTCATAAGTCTTTGTTTGGTACTCTGGTCCAGAACCATAGCCAAACACTATTTTCCTATATTGCACAAAATCACTTCAGGAAGAGACGATGAGGCATATGAGCGGAAGAGGCTTAGATTTACTGAGATAACGGATGGGATTTAGCAGCGAGGCTGGGAAGCCAGTGTTCACCCTGTGGAATTTCGTTACCATGGATCTTTGGCCACATCTAGTACCAGTTTACTCAGGGACTTAGGGATTCATGATCAAGGATTAGGGCAGGCTGCAGAGGGTGATTCAGAGGCAGCTAAAAAGAGCAAGCAACAGCCCTCGCTGAAAAGAAAAAAGCACCAGCTTGTGTGCCGAGTGTGGATATCTATCTTGAGTTAACATGGGAGATACAGCAAATATTAGTGTCAAGTCAGCAGTCAAACAACTCTCTGTACTCTCTGTATAATCTTCTTACATGTATGAGTGCTTTCAGCATAAGTTCACAATGGGTCAACTTAGACTTACTCTTTGGAATTAACAGTGAGAGCATAAATATAGTCATCACTAGTAAATATGCGAAACATGTATGTTTCTTAAATCCACAATATACAACTTCCACCACTAAGGATCTTTCAATCAAAACAAGAATGAAAGACCTAGACTGATGACCTTATAAGGCAGAGGGGGATCATGGGAGTTACTGCCTTTACCACCATCGCAGATGAAAATCTACCTGATGTGACTAAGGTGCAAATCATTTCCACGGATGATGTAATGTCTTTAAGTTTTATTTTCATTGCGCAGCAAACAGCAATGAATCATCGTGATCCATTACGAGCGACCAGAAGTAAACGTCAAGTTACCTTGAATAAAATTGGGAATTTTTCTCTGGGTTTGAACATTGTGGGAAAGGTTTTGTATAAAGTAAATAATCAAGTTAACAGACATTATAATAAATATTTTTACATTTTATACCTTTAACTCACACACAAGCCAGTGCAAAAGGGTCCAGTGCTGACCCATGCTCTGAGCTGGTGTAACACAATCACTGGAGAGGCTTCTGGGGTGTCGTGGGTCTAATTCAACTTGACATCTGTGATACAAGGCTCCCACTCAATAACCCCATCAACATAGCCATCAGCCCACTCCCTCATTTCCACAACAATGCCCACAAAATCCAAAGGCCAAAGGGACAGTTACATCAGATCTTGTAGATAGGGGAACACTTTTAAAAATAGGGAAAAATGACATTTTTGTTGTATAAAGGTCATCTTCAAATAAAAAAGAAGTTTGGACTGACTTCAAGAAAGTGCTCTCAATTACATGTTTTCACCTGCTTGATAGATGTCTATTCCAAAGAATCAAAGTAGGATTACATTTCTTATCAGTTCTTTGTGTATTGTTATTCATAAGATTGTGAGTTTGAAGCTGCTGTTCTTGAAAAGAACTCAGTGTGGAAAAAGACTTCCTCCAGTTTCCTCCCTGACTTCAAAGACATGCCAGTTAAGTGAACTGGAAACTGGTAATTCCCTGAAGGTATAACTTTGTTTTTCTGTCAGTGTGTTAGCCATGAGATAGACTGGCAACCTGTCCAAGGAATGACCCCATGTTTCACCCAATGCATGCTGGAAGAGCAGCCAGCCTCGCACAACACTGAACAAAACAAGTAGTACAGGAGATGGGTGTGTGTCTGTTGGTTGGTTGAAAGGTTGGTTAGATTGTCGGTCAGTTGGTTTGTTGTGTAGCAAAGCATCCACTAGCGTGCAGCTCAGAGTTGAGAGTTTCTGACAACACCAAACATGTTGACAGTGGAGGAGGCTGTGATAAATTACATCCTAATAAACAGTCACTTTGTTAATGGCAGGATGGTACAAATTACCAACTTCCAAATTCTCTCTTTAAAAAGGTTGTACCATTGTGGACATTTCTTCCTCGTGTCCTACGGCTGTCTTGCTGGAACTATTGGCTACACTGCCCTGTGATTTCCAATGGTACTTCTCTGTCATTTGTCTGGTTCATCCATATCAGTCAAGATTTCAGAAGACCTGCACAAATGTGAACAAAATGAGTGACAGAGGGCTCATCCCGTATCCAATGTTGAGCATACATCAGCCTCTAGAGAATATTAGAGGTGACACAATTCATGATTTGATGAAAGTACAATGCCCTCTCTCTGTCCCCTTAATTAGTAACTCAAATGTGCATCGCTTTCAGCGGCTGACGAAGCGCCTGTGTCATTAACACTAGTATTGTCCTTTCATGTATAATTGAAGTTAAGTGCACAAACACAATGTTTCATTACCGTCAATATTGCATTTACCTAAAGAGACAAATCATTTGCTGAAAAATAAAATCCCCTGCCCACTAAGATGCTCTGTCCATGGAGCCTTTGGTCTGAATGTGCTGTTAAACCTTTCCGTAAAGTGGGCAAGAGCAATTGCCAGAGACACTGAGCCATGCCAACAACCGAGAGCTCCCACAAGTGGTCCATCAGTTTACATTCACTGAATCTAAATTCAGACTCAGCCGGTGAGGCACAATAAGCAATTATGGGAAAATTATAATAATGGGAGTTTCACATTGTAATATTTGCACAATTTGGGTGCCATTATTGAGCTCTGGCAAAGAGCTTGGTGTTTTTCCTCAGCTGTCAATCACAGGCAAAGACTGTAAACTGATACTGTGAATAGTGTGACTTGTTGCATATATGCTGCACAATGGAGGCTTTTGACTTTTCATTCCAGGGCTTTTTTTAAACATGTTGGATATAAGTAAAACCTAGTTATACATATATTAATTAAATCAGAGGAAAGAAAAAAATATTGGGTACAAGTAAATATTATTTACATGAAAGTTTAAAGATATAACTAGACAATATGTTGCATATTTTGTTGACTTGTGTACTTAAACTACCCACAAAGTTTTTCAACAGAGTTCAAACCCAGAGATACACGCAATTATATTCGAGGTATCATCTACTTTTAATAGAGACTTATCAAATGACGTATGACGGAAGAAAATCACAGTGCTAGCCAGTTAGCCAGTCAACAGTTTTTTCCTTCCAATGTTTGTATTGATCACTTGTAATGGATCGTGATTATTAATTGCTGTTTGCAGCGTAATGTGAATAAAACTTTAACACATTACCTCGTCCTCGAACATGATTAGCCCCTGAGTCGTGTCAGGTAGATTTTTATTGGCCATAGTGGAGAACACAACAAATCCCATGATCTCAAGCTGCGTCATAATGTCATCAAATTATTTCTTTTTTTATTATTTTGATTAAGACACACCAAAGTTCTTTTACATTTAAATCATGCTGGCAGGATGTATCCCAGTCTGGGGACTCTGCTGGTAAAATGTAATCACTGTTAGTTTTCAGTGGAAAGGGTGATGGCTGGAAGAGCACTGGCTGAGGATCTTCGGCCACATTCACTTCACACGAGTTTAAAAGGACTGCACGACCGCCTGCTTTAACAGATACCACTTAAATGTTATTACAAAGCTCCAGTTTTGAACATAGTCCAACGTACCTGTTGGACACTGGCATTCGTAGTGTCCCGTCGAGTCGGAGCATGTGCCGTTGTGTTGACAGGGGCTGGAGTCACACTCGTAGATCTCAGTCTCACACATTGTTCCTGAGAGGGGGGGAAAAAAACTGCTGCAATTAGTTGCATTTGAATTGCATCACGATCTTCAGACAGTAAAGCTCTTATGAGTCATAACATTGTACATATTTCATTACCTATGCATTGCATTGTTAAAACGCAACCAGAGTTGTTTGGGGGAAATACACTTATTTGCTTTCTTGTCGAGAGTTAGATGTCATCATGCAGCTCGTGTGTCAAATAGATTACTTTAGCTTTGAGTGCAGACTCTGGTGTAAAAGATGAAAAGAAATCTGTCTATCAACATTTGTAAAGTGAACTAATTGACATAAATCTGTATATATTCTCTTATTGATTCTGTTCAAATATAAATATTATTTCTATTTTCAATTTGTACATTTCCTTGTGTCTATAGTGCTTGTTTACTTATTTGGCACTTGTTTTTCTATTTTCTCTATTCGCTTTGTTGCTGATAAAGGATTATCTTATCTTGTCTACTCTATATTTTTTGGGTTAATCTACAACACAGGGGTTATGTGCCGGACTGCTCCTTTGTTGGGAGCACTGGCAAACAATTTCTTAATGGATACACGGGGCATAGGTATCTGATTTCATGTGCTTCCACTATTTATTCTGAGCTTTACATTTAGCATACAGGTATAAGCTGTATTTCTTCTGTAAATTATTCATCAAGAACATTCCATGAAGAGTTGCCTTTTCCCCCAAAACAAAAATGAGGCCGCAAACATTCTTTTACTAAGATGCTGAATGGAGGCGAGCCCCTGGGAAAGCAAACATGGACACCAGAGTCCTGTTTGAACTCACTTTCTTGAAAAAAAATAGACACTTAATAATGAGCTATGTCCTGTCTGAACAGAGCGAATGAGGTGGGGGATGCTTGATGGGAGACTGGTCTGGTGCTCAGCTGCCTCAGCAGCTGCTGGTTCTACCACTGCGGATGGGGGAGTGGGTGTCTTCGAGCGCAGGTTATTAATTTCAAATGTCCCATCATCAATAACAGAGCAGCAATGACACGTAGTGAAAGTCCCTTCTTGACAGCGGCAACCTCATGCTATAGCACAAACACTATGATTGATATCATCTGCACAGGAGCTGCTACAGGTCATTATATGCAAAACATGTCATCCCGCGCAGCAGCAAATTATACAAATTTGTTCTGCTAAAAAAGGAGAAATGCCTGTGCTCCTTCTTTATGGCTGTGAATAAAATCAATTATGTAGCACTGTAGTCTCTTTTTATGAAACTTTAATGATACAAAATATGGTGATTTAAGTTGCAAAATGTTTGTGTAGCAATGTCTGGAAAGTCTAGAAGAAAGGAAAACTAAATAACTATTTATCTTGAAGGGTCAATATGAATACATAAGATTATTTTTTATTCGGGCAACACACGTGTGGCTCTTGAGCACAATCAGTATTTACCCACTGGTTACTTTAGGCCAGGGGATGCTAATTTTCCAGAAAAACACTTAACTTGTATTCCATAAAGCAGTGTACTGTATACACAGCCCACACATGTTAAACCATGTGCCCAATTAAAAGCTAATGAGAGTGTGTATAAATGAGACCAGCCTCACATACGCCAAGAGTTTGTTGTTCCATGAAAAATAAAGGGTAACACTTTAGTTTAGGGAACACAATGTTAGCCACTAATACATGAGTAATAAGTGTATGTGTTAATGATCAATAAGATCTGCATTAAGCATCAYTACATATGTATTAGGTATTTATTCAACAATTTCTTATTCTTACTGAATAGGTCATGTATTCTTGACAAACCCTTTAAAAGCAGCTAGTTAGTCTTG